TGTATTCCCACCAGCAGGGTGGAATGCTTCCTTCCCTTCCACAGCCTCACCAGCATTTACTATCTGATTTCTTGAAGATGGCCATTCGTTCTGGAGTAAGGTGGAATCTGTTATTTTAATTTACTTTTCGTTAATGGCCAGAGATGTTGAAACTTTTTTTGTGTGTGTGTTATTGATCATTTGTTCTCTGAAAAAATTGTTTTTATTGGGTCTTTTCTTGGGGTAGGTAATTTTTTGGAATTCTTTATCCCAGATGTGAGCTCTGTATCTGAGGGGTACCTGGCAAGAATGTTTTCCTATCTCTAGGTTGTCTCTTCACTCTTTTGGTTGTTTCCTTAGCTGTGCAGAAACTTTTTAGTTTAACATAATTACATTTATTGATTCTTGATTATATTTCTTATGCATTTGGGATTCTGTTCACAAAGTCTTTGCCTTTGCCTGTGTCAACAGTTTTACCTATTTTATTTTTCAGCAGGGAATTTTTGATTTGTACAGCCCTTTGCCTTTGTCTTCTGGAAAAATTTGGCATCTAGGCTATAGCACTTAGGCTGTAGGGTGTGGTGGTGGTGGTGGTGGTGGTGTGTGTGTGTGTGTGTGTGTGTGTGTTTGCATATGTGCAAGGAGACTTAAGGGTAGGAGAACATTGCATGCCTCTTGCCTTAACCATAGTTACTGTCACTAATGAATTTACTGCTATTCATTGCAGGTGCTTCAGAGGACAGTCCAAACAGGGATTTACTGTTTTGGGATGATTTTTCTTAGACTAAAGAGGCAGCTAAACTGGGCATGGTGGTGAACGCCTATAATCCCACTGCTGGGCAGTCTGAGGTGGGAAGGATCGCCATGAGTTCAAAGCCAGTCTGAACTGCATAGCAAGACCCTTATTTTTTTGAGACAAGGTCTCACTGTGTGGTTTGATGTTGACCTCACTGTGGCTGACTTTAACCAGAGATCCTCCTATCAGTCTCCCAAGTGCTGGACTTACAGGCATGTGCCACAGTGCATGACAAGAGACCCTTTTTATCTTTTTTTTTTTTTTTTTTTTTTAAAGCAACTGAAATGTTTTGTTACTTTTTTAAAAAAATAATTTATCCTAACCTGGTGTAGTTGTGGCACACACCTACCTATAATCCTAGCACAGGTTTTTATTGATACATGTTTGCAGTACTTAATGATTATATTCATCTTGGGGAATTGATACATCTGCACAAGACTTACTAATTCTTTTTACATCCATTTCCCCTCTCCCAGGCTGGGGAGATAGTTCAGCAGCATAAGTGCTTACCTGGTAAGCGCACGGTTCTGAGTTCAGTCCCCAGTGCCAAAAAGAAAAAAATCTATAACCATTTCCCCTCTACTTGTGGCAGAATGATCATAATAAGTATGAGCCCAGCCTAGGCAGTTTAGTGAGATCCTGTCTCAAAATGAAAAATAAACAGGCTAGAGATGAAGTTCAGTGTGAAGGCCCAGGACTTAACCCCTAATACTATGGGGGAAAATTGATTTGTCCCAAATTGTGTTATAATAGGAAGGATTTGTTACATCAGTGAAATCGCTACTTATTTATTTATTTATTTTTAGCCTTTTATAGGTTCATAGGACTAGATAAGCACTAGATTTTGGAGGTTAGGGAGGGGCAGTGCCACGGGCCAAATCCAGGACCTCTTTGTGTATGCCACGGTGGTAGCAAGCCAATGAACTGTCTGTGTCTTTAACCAGGAGTCTCGGCTGGTGGCTGGTGTTGCATTCAAGAAGACTTTCTCTTACGCTGGATTTGAAATGCAACCTAAAAAGTACAATAACCCCACGATTGCCTTGTTAAATGTTGAACTTGAGCTGAAAGCTGAAAAAGACAATGCTGAAATCAGAGTCCACACAGTAGAGGTAGGTCTCTAGCTGGTAACGTGGAAATGGACAGATTTCTGGGCCAAAGTCTCCAGTCTTCTTGGCTGTTTCAGGGCCAGCTCTGCTTTTCTGGCTCTTTGTGGGACCCCTATCTTTTAGCTCCCATGTGAGTATTGCTGGCTAAATACAGGACTCACACGCTTTCTCACACTGCTTTTTCTGACCTCAGCTTGAAGCAATTTGGATATGAAAGACCTGTTGAAATACTTAACTATTCTCCCACCCTCAGAATTGAGTTGGCAGGACCTATCGAGCTACACACCCTGCCTGGAATTTTGGTTCCTCTTCTCAGACAGGTGTGGGCTCCCCCACTTCTTGACTGGGTCTCCTGCATTTCTGTGCACCTGTCATTGCTATTATCAAGGCTGCCCCTGGAGCTAACAGTGGCACCCAGTGCAGAATGACCTTTGGGAGAGGACTTGTCATTGGGAGCTCCATGGGTACAGTACCTCAGAAGAGGCTAGGATTCACCAGGCTACCCTTTTTTTTTTTTTTTTTTTTTTTTAATGTATTTAGTACAGGATCTACAGGGCCTACAGGGTCTTACTACGTAGATTGTACTGGTAGTGATTCTCCTGTTTTTAGCCGCCCAAGCACCGGAATTACAGGTGCACACCACCACATGGGCCCAGTCTCAATGACAGTCTTAGTGCGCTCCAGGGGTGGGGCAGGCACTGGCACCGGCACTGGCATGGCAGGCCAGGGATCGAACCCCTTGCCCCTGCAACTGGCATAAGCAGATGCTTTAATTCACTGAGCTATCTGGCCAGCCCTTACACTTTTTTATTCTGGCAGTGCCAGTTCTGGTGGGGCTCCCTGGTCTAGGGTTACTCTCTGCTTTTGTGTTTGGAGGTATTAGGTGTTGTCTGGTACTTGAAAGCATCTTTGTTCTTTTGGGCTGAAAAGTGGTTATTTTGTTCACCCCTGTTAATTTCTACATAAATCAGTATGTTTTATTAGGGGGAGGGTAATATTTTAGCCAGTTTCCATCTCAAAACATCCTCACCTTTTTCTGTGTTTCTTTAGGATTATCAGGCAATTGTTGATGCTGAGTGGAACATTCTGTATGACAAGTTAGAGAAGATCTATAATTCCGGAGCCAAAGTTGTTTTGTCCAAACTCCCAATTGGGGATGTGGCCACCCAGTACTTCGCTGATAGGGACATGTTCTGCGCCGGCCGTGTGCCTGAGGAGGATTTGAAGAGGACAATGATGGTAACAAAACTGTAACAGGCTGCTGCTTAACCTTTCACTGAAAGGTTCTCTTCTTTTGTATCTGGTGTAAGCCTGTCTGTTAACTTTGTTTGGCCAGGAAGTGTTCTGTTCAGTGTTTATGTACCTAGTGATACAGCTGCTTGGAAGTTTGTCTAACCAGTTTATGAGAAAACCTAGCAGAATTGCTCTGATCACACAGACAGCCTCAAGGAGTAGTATTTCTAACCAGATGATTTCCTTTTCTCAAATGTTTGATGTAAGTTGCTTTTAGACCTAAAGTTCTACTCCTAAAGTTTAGTTGTTTAGTTTAAAGTCCTAGTTGTTTAGTTGTGTAGACTATCTCCTTTTAACCTGGCCTACTTGTCTTTTATTTATTTTATTTTATTATTACTATTTTTTATTTTTTTGTTTTTGGTGCCGAGGACTGAACACAGGGCTTCCAGCTTGCTAGGAAAGCATTCTACCGCTGAGCCAAATCCCCAGCTCCCTTTTTTTTTTAATCTTAGTTCTGTCCAGTTTTTTGCCATTTCTTAGGCAGTGGCCTCAGGTCAGAGGAAAGGATAGATTAACCAGTGCACATGGCTCTGGGAGCCATGGCACAGTCCAGCATGGGAACTGGCTTGGATACTGGGTGACAGGAAGTCAGCTGGCCTTTTTGTGAGACTTCCCTGCTAGATGACCTTGCCTTCCTTCTCATTAGGCCTGTGGAGGCTCAATCCAGACCAGCGTGAATGCTCTATCAGCAGATGTGCTGGGCCGCTGCCAGCTGTTCGAAGAGACCCAGATTGGAGGTGAAAGGTAGGTGCATCTGGCTGCCTGTAGACTGAGCTCATATCACCAGCCAGACCGCCTTCTCCCATCTCCTGAGTGTGGTGTAGGGCTTGTGCTGTTCTTCTTTGAGGTGTTGCCTTTTGGGCAAAGAGGTCAGGAACGTAGAGTGTTACAGGAGGGCAGAAGGTCTAGTTGGGTCCCAAGTCTGACTCTGTAATCTTGATACCCCAGTAACATAGCCCCATACTTTTCTGTCTTGAAGAAAATGCCTTTGAGGTGGGGGTTGGACAACAGTACTGCTACTGTTTGGAGGACTTGGCAGAGAGAACAGACAAAGATGGCAGCAGAAAGGAACTCACACGTGTATGATTTCATCCTGGGGTGTAGGTACAATTTCTTCACTGGCTGCCCCAAGGCTAAGACTTGCACCTTCATCCTCCATGGCGGAGCTGAGCAGTTCATGGAGGAGACAGAGCGGTCTCTGCATGACGCCATCATGATTGTCAGGAGGGCCATCAAGGTACTAGGCTGATTGCCTCTTGCCTGCTCAACCCAATCTATCTTTCCACCTGAGCGTTGTGTGTTGATCCCTTCCTGTGTAGTCTGTCCTTTTTTTTGCGTGGCATGGAGGGCCCTAATTTGTCCCACAAATTGTAGAGAAACTCAGCTTCAGTCTCAACCCCACGCTCTCTTACTGGTTCTTAGCAAACTGTGGATGTAGCTGTCCTAGTGATTATGCTAGTGTCTTCAAGTTACATGTGATCTTGATGATGACCTTATGGTTCACTAGGTTGAAGTTGGGAAGAGCTACAAGGGCCATGTGTGGTTTCTGGGGGCTTGGGGTGGTGGAAGGAATGAGGCTTTCTTTTCTGGAGCAGAGGACCTATTGAGTGGCCCAGCGTGGAGATTGTTCCAGTGCCTCTCGCACTGAAAGGTGGTCTGGTTTCTATAGAATGATTCAGTGGTGGCTGGAGGTGGAGCCATCGAGATGGAGCTCTCTAAGTACCTTCGGGATTACTCAAGGACTATCCCAGGAAAACAGCAGCTTCTGATTGGG